GTCACTGGGGTTGCTTTTTTTTTTGACGGCTTGCGAGTTCATTGTTTGTCTGGTTAGCTGGGCCCGATAACCCTGTAGTGAGGACATGCTGTGGCGTGGGGGTACAAGCAAGACCCAGGGCCTGAAATGGAAACTGGGGTTACGTAGGCTCCTTGTATGTTGGGGTGATATTGGGGTAGTGGAAAAGGAAATCGAAACTATGATATTGAAATAGGTGTGTTGCAAAGCATCATGAACAGTCGTAGATCAACAGGGCTTCCAATATGCCAGGTTCTGATGATGTGGACACAGACTTGCCCAATGCAGGCCATTGTCTGACTGACAGGTCTTCGGCCGACGATTTCGATAGGGATTTTGATCAGAAGGCCGTACCAAAATTGCAAACCCCAAGCCGCAAACATGAATCCTAGCCCAACTCCAATCCTGAATTTGGTGGTTGCAGCTATGCAGATGGTTTGTGCTAGAGGCACATCCCAGTACATTACGTGGCGAGTGAGATCTTCGGGTTGGGAGTTCTGGGCTACGGGTTTCGTCAAGGCATCCTTTGTGTGCTCCTGAGCAGTGTGGAAACCCTACGGTGGATACTAAAATTCCTGCATGACCCTAAGTACCTTACACATTGGGAATTATGGTGCTATAGTATACTAAGGTCATGCAGGATTTTTAGTATCAACAGTAGGTCCCTTTAAGGAGGGATATTACCTTGATAATGGAGAATCACATGGAAAAGCAAATGGGAAATCAAATGGAACCTGGGGCTACACAGGCTCCTTGGAAAATAGGGTATATCTTACTGGGATTCTTTAGGGTTTAGGGTCTAGGGGTTATATGGGGATAGTGGAAAATAAAATGGAAACTACTATAATGAGCTCTATAGGGATATTTAGGTATATCTTAGGGTAGTATAGGGATAATGGGAAAGTTAGGGGAAACTACTAAATTATGTTAGGGTATATATATATATATATTGGGGTCATACAGGGATAATGGAAAAGAACATGGAAACTATGATATAATATATTATGCCTCGTGCAACTTGCTTCATCAGTGTGTACACAAGGAGTGAGTGCAGTGGGGCATTTCTCACATTTATATTTCCCTATATCCCCCCTCACCACATGACAATGTGTCATATACAGGGTGCCAGTGCCATAAAGACCTCTGTAAATGCATCAGAAAGCTCCTCTCACCTAAAACTACTGACCTGGCAGGGGAGCCGCCGGTTCTCAGTGTTCAGCCCTCATCTGCTGCTGCGGAGTTTACGCATGGCGTCATTGATCACATGTGGAATTTTGGTGTGTGTGTGTGTATATAGGATGTACATCTGGGGTGTCGATTTGAGGAGACCGCAAATTAAAGCCATCGGGTCATAGTCCCCCTTAAGTAGATAGAATATGGGGTTTATGGGGTCTTATTATGAAATACCCGAAGCCATATTCTATCTACTGAACGGGGACTACATGGCTATTAACGGCTAGATTTGAATTAGAAGGGCATAGCGGATAGCACTCAGAGTTCGCATGCTGGGCTAGCGATGGGTTTGTTGCATTGAGGAAGGTTCAAGACTGGCTTTGGTGAGCTGGATACAGGGGAGTTTTTCCTAAAGGGGAGTTTCCCAAAAATAGGGGTACGTTTTGGGGTCCCGAGAAAAAGGGTAGTGTTCCAAGTCCACGCCAACAAACTTTCAAACTGTGTCTTCGAGGTTAGGAACCGATATTCGGATCTTGACGAGTTCTTGCACGAAAGTGGATGCGCCTGTGCATGCCGGTGGGCGGGCCCATCTACACTAGGTTGACAAGTCAAAGCACCTGGTGCCCGTTTATAACTTGTTGGCTTGCATTACTTCGTAAATGTTTTCCTTCATTTTCTTGCTGCGTGTTGTGTGCCGTGCATATCATATCTCGCTTCCTGAATAAAAAGATTAGCTCCTTGACAATCCTAAACCCTAAACCCTAAACGCTAGTGTGTAGAGCTCTTGGTTTGGTTACGGCCTACAACAAAAGTCACCACATGTTTGATCACCAGGATCACCCCAAAAACAGCAACCACGAGTGGGTTGTTGTTAAGGAACTTAAGTTACGTTACCATAATGGGTTTATATAGCAAATAATATGGTTCCCCAATATACTTATTTAAACAAAGTTCCTTAGCAGCAATCCAGATCATGGTGCCCTAAACCCTAATATAACCACAATATTTTAGTAGTTTCCATTTTCTTTTCCATTATCCTCATATTACCCCAAAATGTACCCTATTATAATATGGTACTTTCCATTTTCTTTTCCATTATCCCAGTATAACCCCAACATATACGAACAAAACCCCTAAACCCTAAACCCCTAAACCCTAAACCCTAAACCGACATGGCGTTGCTGCAGCCGTTGGCTCCAAAGTGTTCGTGAATTGCAGGAAGGGATCCTCCTACTTTGACATCATGGGAGCATCTTGACAGCCTTTGTTTAGGGTTTAGGGGTTGAGGGTTTTGTGGGTTAAGGGTTTAGGGGTTTAGGGTTTAGGGTTTAGGGTTTAAGGGTTTAAGGGTTTAAGGGTTTAGGGTTAGGGGTTTAGGGTTTAGGGTATATTCTCCCCATATAATGGAGAGTCAAATGGAAAAGACCATGGAAAAGAATTTGGAAATGACATGGAAACTGCGGGAATATAAGGACTTAACTTTGAAACTTTGAAACTTAATTTAGGTAACTATATTGGGAAAACCATTTTATTTACTATATTTATATACATATATGTATATTCATCTTGGTAACTTAATTTCAGTTCCTTAACAGCAAGCCAATCTGTGGCAATGTCACGGGGTGAAAGTTTCTCATGGTCTTGGTTATCGTTGGATATTTAGTATGGCTAGTAGCACCGGTTCAGAATGGTCTCAGAACAAAGTCTCCACAGCAAACATGTATTGAATCCCTGGCATGTCGATGATTCGGGGCCTTCAGACCTGTTGAGAGGACCACTTGCTTCCAACAGGGGGCCTCTCAAAGCGCCGGTTCTCTTGTGCATTTGTCCCGAAGGTGGTCCCATTGTTACGCAGGTCGTGAGAGGAACCCTCCGTTTAGACATAGCCTTTCTGTTGCTATCTGTGCTGTAGGGGTTGAAAGAATTGAGTTGAGGTCCACAACTTGTTTTGTGACACCCCGATCATTTCATAGTGGTCTTCTTGTGTGATTCATTTCGCAATCCAGATTGCGAGCAATGGAGGCAAGCTGATTCAAGAGAAGCAAGTTCACATTTGCATTACGAGTACGGATAAACACTCGAGCTTTGGGTTTTGACGTGTCAATATAGCGATGCGAAGCGGTGCGTACCTAGTCAACATAGGATATGAATACATACACATAGTTATAGGGAGATTGGAAGGGGGGCTATAGAAGTCCTTGCTTACAATCATGCACGGGAAGCCTGAGAACTAGTCAAGGCCGGTGCTGATCTGAAATGTACGACCAGCACAGATGTTTGCGGTGAACGGCTGCACGGTTCTAGATTTGTAGCAGCCCCGTAATCAAACTTTCCAACCCGCCCAGTAGACTCAGTAGTGAACAGTTTTGAATACGCAATGTCACCTTGTTGTGAGTGCTTATACTCAGGAGGGTGGGGACTTGATGATTCGGGGAGGGACTAGCAAGCGAGCGAGATTGAGCTCAGGCACTCGCATTTTTATTGTTTTGTTGGTCTAGGATGTGATACAACAGCAACGCATTAAGTTGAAGCTACTCAGGCAGTAAATGTGGACTCTTGAAGACTGAGCTATACATTTTTGGCAACTCTTCTAGAATGGTAGCATTATACACCTTGCATTTGTTTAGACTCCTAGATTAGCATGGATTAGGTGGACGTCCCCCACCCTGTAATAAGAACATAAGAGGACCCTAATAAAGTTACTATTATTCCATTTGATTCACTGCTAGTGTGTAGGAGGTCCACTTAAAGCATGGAAGCCAACAGTCGGCATAACCTCTCCTGAGCCTCCTTCTGCTGAACTCGACCTCCTTGCCACTTTCCAAGGAGTCCTTAGACAAGCGGCCCCAAGCTAATAACATGGAACCCCAAAAGGGGCCCTATCTCCAGAGACTACTCCTACCCTAAACCCTACACCCGGGTGTTATGGGGTTCCATGTTAGTTTGGGGGATGGTACTTGCCAAACTTGATGGAAGGGAGGGCCAAGTGTATGAAACCCTAAACCCTAAACCCTTATGCCAGGAGCCAAATGGCTCAGACGCTACTGTTAGGGCTTAGGGTTTCTAGGGCTCACTACTGCCTCTAGGCTTCAACATCAGCGTACTCAACCATATGCTTGTTCGTCCATCTGAAGGGAGCTTTCCTTCATACCCTCAGGGTTTGTATCCTTAGGTTTGGATCCGTAAGACATGGAATATGAGCATGGGATAAGCATGGGATAAGGTTTAGGGTTTAAGGTAGTTTAAGGTCCTAAGAATAGGCCCCACACACAGGTGCCTGCCTGTTTCCTGGCTTACCGGTGGCCAGTAGAGAATAACGGAATATAATCCCTACATAATCTCTTTATAACACATGACCTTATTCCCTACTAACCCCCCCCCCCAAAGTAGAAGGCATAGAATTTGTAAGGACACCCCTAAACCCTAACCCTAAACCCTAAACCTTATCCCATGCTGGGGGCATAGTTTCAACCTTTGAATTGCGACATTCGCGCTTTGAAGCCCCATAAATCCCCACATAGACCCTCACATAGCCCCTAAATAATACTTCTATATGATCCTTTATACATGGGTTAGAAGTACCCCTAAACCCAAATATGGGTAGAACAACAAGAGTATAGTCCCCAATGTAGAGAAAGATTATGCCCTCCTTTTGGGGTACAGTGTTTTATCAAGGGAATATGACCTTACTTGGTTCAGCCCTAAACCCTAAACCCTAGACCCCTAAATCCTAAACCCTAAACCCTAAACCCTAAAACCCAAATGTGGGGTCCAGACTGAGGCTGGGCATGCCGTTCCGCTGAATGCCGATGTTCCGTGCCCGTCGCAGCCAGGTACCAACTGCAACCTGGCTGCTTGGGAGTTTAGGGTTTAAGGTTTAGGGTTTAGGGTTTAGTGTTTAAGGTTTAAGGTTTAGGGTTTAGGGTTTAAGGTTTAGGGCTTGGGGGTTCAGGGATTGAGGTTTAGGGTTTAGGGCTTGGGGGTTCAGGGATTGAGGTATAGGGTTTAGTGTTTAAGGTTTTGGGCTTAGGGTTTAGGGTTGCTGGGAGTTTATCAAAACCGCCCCTACAGAATCCCTAGTCAAGACCCCTACATATCCCAAAGGTAAGTAGGACACCGCTTTTGCCCCAGTTTGGGTCTTGCTCAAAATCTTGAAGAGTCTAGGTGGTTTAATAATTAATTTAGACCCGTGATTAGTAAACCCCTCCTCTTTAAGGGCCTTAATATTTGCATCCCTATTGTGATCCCTATGAAGGCAGTGGCTTTATTAATCACGGGTCTACATTAGGGGGTGCCATAGGAAGAGTGGCAATCTTCAGAGATGCCAGAGACCACCCAAACACCACAAAGCCCTAAACCCTAATCCTTTTCAGAGGTTTTTGTGGTCGATGATGTCTATAACCTTTTGGAGCTTAACCTGAAGTCGCTGTTTGGGAGATGATTTAGGGTCCTTCTTCAGCATATAGGGTTACTTGTGATTTGTACCTCGACGGCAATTGTTCACCGTTGAAAAAGGGCGTGCTTAAACACATGTCGTCTGTATGGAAAGTTCATATGCGCCATACGCAGCGCCCATGTAAAACAGTCCCATGCCATTTCTGGATGTCAGATATTACTCATCACATCCCCTAGGTTTCCTGCTAAATCTTCCTTGTCTCAACATGTAGTTACCCTAAACCCTAAACCCTAAACCCTAAAATGTAGTTTACATCTGAGTGTTATGTCCAAGGCCTCGCAACGGATGCCTTGGATTCCATTAAGCAGCCAGTGACGGCGGAGGAAGCGTATGAGGAGGCCAAGTCGTTGCTGAGGCCAGCGAGATTTAGGGCTTCGGGTCTAGGGTATATGGTTTAGGGTATAGGGTTTAGGGTTTAGGGTTGCTGGTATAGGGTTTAGGGTTTAGCTGTTCGGGTTGCTGGTATCTTTATCACGGTAGCCCCTCGCAGGAGTACGGCCTGTAACGTTGGTCGTGATGACGCTGGCAATGGGATTGCATATGGGGTATTTAGGGATCTTATTATATATATACCCAAAGCCAAATTCTATCTACTCGTGGGGGATTATACTTGTAGCAGTCCTCCCTATACCCTAAATCCTAGACCCCTATAAAGCGTATCAGTCCTGGCAGTAGTGGCAGTAATAGACATGGGAGTTTTACTGCTGTGGCTGCTTCTGCTATGGCTACCAGTGCTACTGGCCGCGTGGCTGTGCAAGCAGTAAGACAATATTAATAGTAATAGTAATAGTAAGAGTAATAGTATTTCTAATAGTAATAGTAATAGTAATAGTAATAGTAATAGTAATGTAATAGTAATGTAATAGTAATAGTAATAGTAATAGTAATAGTAATAGTAATAGTGATAGTGATAGTAGTATTATTAGTTGCAGCAATATTCTTCAGCAATCCTTTTGCAAGCGAGGCATCTGAAGCTTGCTTCATCATGGTTGAAGGAGGTAAGCTCACACTTCCGAAAGCATGAGCTTTTCGCACGCTTACCTCAGTTTCAATGTCCGCTAAAGAAACGGTTCAAGTACCTACAACACTCGAAGCTTTCAGCACAGGATGTGGACCCGAAGCCCGTGCGAGGTACCCTGTCGACTCAATCACAGAAGGCCTCATGAAGAAGTTTGAGATAACGGATGTGGACGCCAAGACTTTTGTTGTGAAGGCCTGGAGTGTAGGGTTCAGAAGGTAGGCTGTCGGGCTACAGATCAAGGTCCACGACAATCATTATTATTACTAGTACTACTACTATTACCACCAGCACCACTACTATTATTATTACTATTGGTAGTAGTAGTGGTGGTTGTGGTGGGGCAGCGGCGGCGCCAGCAGGAGCACCAGCAGCAGCACCAGCAGGAGCACCAGCAGCAGCACCAGCAGCAGCACCAGCACCACCACCTCTGCCGCCGCCGATGCGTCTGTAACATTTGTGTTTTTAATGTTTTGTGCTGATGTGTCAATCTGGCAGGTGATCATAGATGGCCAGAAGTTGGACAAGTGGGGCTATGGTAAGGGAGATGGCACCGACAGAGTCAGACACTGGAAGAAGGTGGTCATGGATGACCTTGGATTGCAATTGAGCATCTTGTTTTGATGGTTCCTTGACGCCGGCCATCCCATTGTCGCCCTGGGATTCGGGAGTACCCCATTGTTAGCAATCAGCATGTAAGCTAGAGTCCAGCTAGAGTTTAGAGGGAAGCAAGACAGGCTCCGTATGTGAATTGACTGTGCTTCCTGATCTTGATAGCTTTCGGAAAAATGGCCTCTTGTCCAGGGGCATGTATGACAGGCTCTTATGAAACTCCACGTTGTTTATACAACAGTCTACATTTTGTGCCGCTACGGCCGACGGCAAGGGTATGACTGCTCATAAAGCCAGCGTCCTTTTGGGGTTGGGTCAAGCTTGTTTCCAGTTGCTTGCTCGGAAGTTTGCTTTTTTTGGTCTGGTTGGGTTTCCATGCTTGTGGCCTGATTGCTGTGTTCTGCTGGGAGAATCTTTGTTTTGTGCATGGCCTTCCTTGCCTTTTCAACATTTTCTTGAGACATCCAGGCAAATGGATGGGGAAGCTGGGGATTTACAACAAGAGGCCCTTGCTCCTTCACAAGGTGCTCTATGAGAAGCAGTGGGTTGCTTTAGAAAACATCCATTATCAAGAAGGTTCTGACATCCACTGCCAAAGAACAATTTGTTCGAAGGACTTCTACTGGATTTCCCCTGTATTTTGGGTACCTAATCTTGTATATAGAACATACTGGACATAGAATTGGGTATCTCTCAAAAACAATTTCCCCGTTCTGAGATTCTAGGTGGAACTTTGCACAGGCCAGCATACCACAAATCTTACCTCTCAAGCAACAAGCGGACCAAAAAAGGTTGAATGATGCCTAAAGGCTGAGTTGCTGTTCAGGAATTTGAATTAATGTACCATACTGGGTATGCAATGTGATTAATATGGTTCCCCCAGTATACTAACTTAAAATAAGTTCCTTCAGAGCAACCTAGAGGAAGGAAGGCCTGCGGGGCTTCAAAGTTACAATTGCCGCCGACTTGCTGAAATCAGTTTTTGACTTAGATCCAGCGGAGACTTCGGTTTTGGAGGGTTCGGTAGAGTGTAGGGTTGGCACCGGCATGAAGACACGCTGCGAAGTTAAGCTTATCAGACTGTTGATGGACAGAATCCTGCGTGACTCTACGTCTACCGCAGTACGCGAATTCCTATGTTGGGTTTGGGTGTATACGGCCACGCAGGATTTTGTCCATCAACTGTAGTTTTCCAACCCATCATTCCTACTCACCTGGGTGACATGGATGAGAGCGACAGCGTTGGTGAGATACTGCCCAAAGAATCCGTAAGAAGGATCATGGACATACATATGAGACATAGTCTAAACTCGTACTATTCTCCTTAATAACGCCTGAAATGGTGCCTATGTAATCCCCCTATAACCCACCTTTAGAGAGTTTAGGCTATAGTTCATATGGGTATCCACAGGATCCTTCGAAACGTATGTGCTTGTGCTAACGCTTGGAGCGTCAAATAACGCTCTAGATTTTCCCGAATAGCCAGGAGAGGAGCAGCAAGAGGTTTAAGGTTCAGGATTAAGATAGTTTTCTGGAGCCGGAGAATTAGGCTTAAAACTTTGAGCCAGGTTGCCAAGAATTAGGGGCCCTTGCTTGGGGTCCCCACAATAAGGATTATTGAACTTTAGGGTCTGTCTTGGGATCCATATTGGGGTTCCCCTATTCGTGGAAACTACGTGAACCATCAGGCCCCCAAATCTAAAGCCGCAAGCCCTTGAACCGGATGCATTCAGGATGCCAACATGTCGCTCACCATTCAGGATTTTGTCCCAGAAGCAGCACTTGGTGCATGGGTGGATGAGGCAGTTGTGCAACCACCTGGGCCCTGAACCTTGAACCCCCTAAACTCAACCCTGAACCCGTGGTTTAGGGTTTAGGGTTTGGGGCTTACGGTCCGTAGGGATAAAGGGATTCATACCCTAAACCCTAAACCCTAAACCCTCAGAGGTCTTCATTATGCGGCGGATGGATCTCGTTGAGGGTTTAGGCACCAAGTTGACACGCAGATCCCTACTGTAAGGGGTTTAGGGTTTAGGGGCTTAGGATTTAGGGTTTAGGTTTTTAGGGTTTAGATCGAAACGAACATAGTCATAGCAGTAGTAATAGCGGTAATAGCAATAATTAATAGCAATAATAGTAATCATAGTATTCATAGTATGAATAGTAATAATAGCAATAATAGTAATGGTAGGCATAAGAGTAATAATAGGAATGATAGTCATAATAGTATCAATAGTAATAATAGCAACAAGAGCAATAATAGTAATAGTAGGCATAATAGTAATAATAGCAGTAACAGTAACAATTGTAATAATAGTAATAATAGCAGAAATAGCAATAATAGTAATAATAGGCATACTAGTAATTATATCAACAAAAGGAATAATAGTAACAGTAGTAATAATACGAGTAAGAGTAACAATTCTTTGCAGGCTACAGACAAGGAGGCTTACAACACCTGCATCCTTCAAGTTGAGAAGTCGCCGCCGCGCATTCTCATCATCTTTGACGACAAGGACAGGGATAGGGTTTAGGGTTTAGGGCTTAGCATTCCGGGCTTAGGGTTTAGAGTTTGGGGCTTAGGTTTTAGGGGTTTAGGGTTAGGGGCTTTAGGGTTTTGGAATTACGGTTATTTAGGGCATGGCAGAATACCGGGGCTATCATGGGTAGAAATGGGGTCTATGTTAGGTGGACTCCCGCCTTTGTGATAATGCTATAAACATTAAATGCGCCCCTATCGGGCCATTTTTCTGCTTTTTAGCATGTTTTCAGCTCGCATCTATGCAAAGCCGGAGTACCTTTGTGTTCGAGTTCATGCCACTTACCAAAGCGTCCATGCTCAACCACAATTAGAGTTTAGAGTTTAAGATAGCTACGTAAGTAGCTTCCTTCAGGATGCCCCTTGCAGCTCAAGTCGACACTTGAGTCTTTCCATCCTTAGTTCTTTGAGTCCTGATAATGAGCCTCAATTTCTTCACGAGGATGTAGCATATCCCCCTAATTCTACAAACTACTTCTGCAATCAGGATTTTTCCCCGCCTACAGCTCAAAATCGCTGGCCCTCGCACTCTGTTGTGCACATTACAAAAATCTCAGCAACACAGAACACTGAGATGGTTGACGTTTTTTGCATGCATCGACAACGTGAATGTTGAGAAAGACATGGCCGAATGTGGCCTCGTGTCCTAGCAGGAATCTACAGGGCCCTGATATTATGATCACCAGTATCCCTTATAGTAGTCCGTACTATTGGGTGGCGCATCCACCTCAGGTATATACGCTGTATATAGAGAGACCCACTCAACTGCAGGGTCCATAGACACAGCCCACTGAGATTTCATGGAGAAGAACCTCGTTTAGGGTTTGGGGTTTAGGGTTTGTACATACGATTTGGTTTTAGGAGTTATGTTCGGCGGGCCGAGGGTATCTCAATATCACACGTCCTTTCATGGCACTTCCTGTGAAGATTTTGCTATGAAGGGGCACGTAGAGAAGAACCCTAAACCCTGAAACCCTGAAACCCTAAACCCTAAACAGGGTATGTGGAAACCTAGCCCAGGACTTGGTTTAGTTTGGGTGAGATGTACATTTTCAGAAGCCTGACCCCAAACCCTGTACACCCTAGGGTTTAGGGTTGTTGGGTTTTAGGGAGGGACAGCCAGGACGGAAAGCGCCTCTCAGATGAGGGAATCTGGATCACATTTCAGTTGAATTTCCACTTGGTTTACAGAGGCAGAGAGATGCCAGATGAGCTACTGTCTAAACTCCTTAAAGGGGGTTATATAAAGGATTATATAGGGTACCATTATAGGGTTTATTCAGGAGGATTCTAGGAGTTTAGACTATGGCTCAGATAACAGATAGCTTAACGGTGCGTCATACTTAAGCGCAAGATGCAGTAAATCACATGTTCCTTTACTATGATGAGCCCGTACATTAAGTTCCCCAATTTTGAAAACATTATTTGATGATTCCTTGCAACCAATTTAGGATCTAAAGTGAAGACCCACTAAACAGTAATTGATGACCCCTCGCTTCCCCATATGAGCTACAGTCTAAACTCCTGACAGGGTCTATTCAGGGGTTTATATAGGGGAGTCTTGTAGAGTAACCAGGCGGATACCAGGAGTTTAGACTATAGCTCATGTAATTCCGATACATACCGCATTATGGTGCAGTAGTTTCCAGGTTCTTTCCATGATCCCTATAATATATTAGAATATACTATAATATACTATAATCTACGATATTCTATTCTGGTTATTAAGGGGGATCATGTGTTCCTCCAGGAGACTCAGGGTCTGGTACCTACACACACGGCTACATGTTAACACCTAGGACGACTCATGTGGGCTTCCAGGGCCATGAGACCCAACATCCTATAGCTTGAGTAAAAGCCATTCTCCGTAAACCCCAAGCTGCGGAGAAAAGGCACCGGAAAAATCTTGAACCCGAAAATAAAAGTTTTCAGCCCCAAACGCTGAACCCTGAATCCTTTGGGTTTAGGGTTCTTGTTTAGGATTTCAACCTTATACCCCAATACCCACACCCAGAACACCAGCATGCCTCAACGCAAGAGGCTAAATGCAATCTGCCCTTTGGGCTCCTCAAACTGTGCTGTTCGATTCTACTTGAGGTTTAGGGTTGAGGGTTTAGGGTCCAGGGTCTAGGGTTTAGGGTTGAGGGTTTAGGGTCTAGGGTTTAGGGTTGAGGGTTTAGGGTCTAGGGTTTAGGGTGTAAGGTTCTAGGTGTTATAGGTGTTACATAGGAAATAATGGAAAAGAAAATGGAAACTAACTGGGTTATATGGGCTTGTTCATGTAGAATCAAATGGAAAAGAAAATGACAACTAGGCTTTGTACAGGGAAGGGAAGAATCCCAAGAATTACATTACTTTCTTTTTGCTGTATCTGAATTAGGTCCCTAAACCCTAAACCCTAAACCCTAAAAGCCTAAGCAGGCCCCGAGCCAGGTGACCAGAACCAAGCGCCAGGCTCTGGTGGAATCTCACTGAACTAGGGGTTCCTCAAAGGGGGCTTATAGGGGTTTTATATGGGTCATATGGGGATAATGGAAAATGGGATGGAACCTATCATGTACGGTTTAGGGTTTAGGTGCGACAGGTATTTGTCATGGACCACCCCCTACACATAACCTGGAAGCATATATTCATCATTGCCAGTAGTATGATTCCAGATCCCTCTTATAAGCATGGCACTTACCTCAAATAGACTCAACATGACATTGGTAATTTTCAGACGTACATTACCCTAGCCGCACCCCGTCCGTGGTACCTCATAGTGGTGCTCAGGAGTTCAATTTAAGTTCCCATACCTGGGAACAATATGAACTGTTAGATTTACACCCTAAACCCTAAACCCTACACCCTAAACCGCGTGGCGGTAAATCAGAATAAGTTCTTTAACAGCAACCCAGCAGACTTAGGATTCAGAGACGTCATGTACACATGGACCGATGGCATCGTCAGCGGTGTTCAGACTTACAAGACCGCCAAGGCAGGGGCAGAGAGGGAATTGATTGTTGATGCTGATACTTCTGCATGACCTTAGCTAGTATATTAGAGTACCAGATTCCAAAGGCGTATTGTAATTAGAGTCACGCTCGGTTTTGAGTATCCACTGCAGATTATAGCTTTCGGGTTCGGGGCTTTTTTAAAAACTTCTTGAGGTGGCATAGCTGTGTAGTGTTACCGAGGATTGCATGGGAGTTACGGCGTCGTTGGTCAGGGGTTTGCACAGTGTGTCTAAGGTGCATAAAGGGCCCGTCTTTTTGTGGGCATTCGTTTCTTTAAACGGGTCGTTTGGATGCCCCTATGAAACGTCAAGATTCTGCGTCCTGGGGGCCCCAGCAAATGACAAGGCGACACAATCCTGTTCGAATCCAAATCAGGTACCTCTGTGCCTTTAATTTGGAACAAAGTTTAATCCCGCAAGCGTAGACCTTCAAATGCACGTTCTGGCCCTGCTGAGCCTTATGAAGCTTTGCACGTCCGTCTTGAAGTTTCTCAGGCCCAACATTTCGTGGGGAACGGCAGAATCCTGCCTTACTAGACCCAAACGCTAACCAGAGATAAGCTAACCAAACCGTGTACAAATCCCAGTTACCATTTAATTTGCCATTGTCTTCTCCCTATGAGTCTCCAGAAACCCTAAACCCTAAGCCCTACATCCTACAGCCTAAACTCTAACCCTAAACCCTAAACCGCTGGCTCAGGTGAAGGTGAAGGCAAACGCACCTTCACTGGTCGAGGAGGGTAAGGAGAGTATGGTGTCGGAACCCATGGACGCCCACGTGAAATACGACAAGTCCACGGGAGGAAAAGAGAATTTAGGGTTTAGGGGTTTAGGGTTCGGGGCTTAGGATTTGGAAGCTTGATTTTATCCTGCTATGGAATAAAGTCAGGAAAGGACCTCTAGGAGTCTATTCTTTGAACTTGGCATATGAGGTTCTGGGACAAGCACTTGCAGTACTGCAAGGACTTTGTGAAGAACGTGTCGGCCCCAGGAAGCACTTGGTCAGCGGCATGTGGCAAGGAATTGTTGAGATGCCGACGTTCAGGAAAGGGAATTCGTGGCTGAGGGCATCAACACAACCCAAACCCATATTGCGCCTAGGTTCTGCCTTGAGGAGTTTGGCTTGTGACCCTAAATTTTCCAGTGGGTATCAGATTCCTTTTGCATCACAATTACGGTCACAGTCCATATGGTCGCGACGTCTCAGCCACATACAACTTGTGGCTGCCTGCTACTCAAACTGATGCACAAGCACATGTAAACAGGTTCAATTGGACAGCAGACAGCAGCCACTAGTGATAATCATTGCTAGTGATAACCATTGCATAACTACAGTAGCAGTAGTTAAAGGTGAACGTTTTCAGGTGGCAGCAACACATGTGATCGTCTCGGCCATATCCTATGCACTGAAGCCTTTGAAACGGGAGCAGTGCAGACATAACCTCGAGGCGTACGAGTCACTGTATTGTCAACAAAAGCCAAGTGAGTAGTATTCAATTTAGGGATACTATGGTACCCAACATAGAGTAAGATTATATCCTCCTTTTGGTATAGTATCTTATATAAGGAATATTATCTTACTAGGTTCAACCACCAAAAAACACACTACTCAATTCATCCGCACATCATCCATAAGAGGTACACCTAGGGTTCCTTTAGCGCCACTAGTTTGTCCAAATCTTACACCCTGAATGGCACTTCTCCACAATAGAGAACCTCAATATACATCCCACTATAATACAATCCCTATTACTGGACCCCAAAAAGGGATCTAATCTTGGGAAACTCTAACACATACAATCCCAGTTTCCATTTCATCTGCCATTTTGTTTTCCATTTGTTTAGCCACTACGGCTCAAATAGCTTCCAGTGTAGGTAGTAGCGAACACAATTCGCCTGCACACAGGAACCGAGCCGCCAGGTCCCAATTCCTGGAGCCCATGCACATGCTAAAGCAACTGTTGCCGGGTAAGTGG